GTTCCCACTCTTACACTGCCCACGCAGCTCTGAGACCATCAGCTTTGTTTTAAACCCATTCCCAGGCTGGCAGATTTCACAAAACCCACCATCCATGACAGAAAGCTACAACAATCATTGCCCTTAAAGGAGTGTAAAAGATGTATAGTTTAATAAAATACAAGGACATTCAATGTCTTTTATTACCAGGGACACCTAAACCGCTGGATTTTCAGAAGCAGAGCACTGTACTGTCCAGCAACGCTTCCAAAATAGTTAACACCTTGCCAAGACCATCAACTGTGCGACTTCGGGATATGCTTTCACTACCCAGAACAGTGTTGAAAGAGGCTGCATCACTGCAAGTATAAGCCAGCCAGGAAGTTACCAAAGAAACCAAGAGTCAGTCTGGCACGGGACACTCCCAAGTCCTGAAGCGCGTGGGAGTAGCAGAGCTGAGCGCATCGTGTGGAATGTGGCTACAACTAAGCATTTCTGAAAGCCTGGATGTTAACAGCCAGCAGCCTCAGCCACAGCACCTGTGTGTATGATGGCAACGGAAGGCTGATACCTGCAAAGGTAGCTAAAGGGAAAGACAAACCACGGGGCTGCTCTGCGTTACGGAGACCAAGCACTTGGCTCTCAGTAGTTCGAGGCAAGATGACTCCTGCAGACAGAAGAGCAGAAACTCAACTGACACACGGCTTCATCCAGCTTCCATTGTGGCTCAGGGATGGCACATCCCAGAACGAAGCACTCCCTGGCGAGGAACAGCCACCAGATCGAGGAGCACAGGCAGGAACCAGCAAATGTGGGCTTGTCCCATTCCAGCCCAGCAGCACATTTAGACCAAAGCGGTGTTTGACAACCTGTATCCTCTCTGGAAGGCTGCTGTCCATAAACGAGAATTTCCAGTTTCCTGATAAAAACCTCCAGAAGTGCTCGGGACATTTATTTTTGTTTTGTCAGTTTTGGTTGGGTTGTTTGGGTTTTTGTTTTGTTTTGTGGGTATTTTTGGTTTTTAAAACATGCTCTGTAGTTGTTGTTTTCCTTACAGAAAGTTTTATTGGAAGAAAATTCACAGCTGTAAGCCCCTAAGTCCTTTATTATATTAAAAAAAAAAAATCAAATACAGAAACTAAGCACCTTCTCCATTTTATTTTATTTTATCTTTGCACATCATGTTTGTCCTAGGCCCAGAATTAGAACCATAGGCAGTTATTCTTTTGTTTAAATAAAGCTCCAGTAGGCTCCGTCAGCCTTTATTATCTTTGGTTTTCCTTTCTAGGTGTGTTATTTCATATGCAACCATTGAAAACAAGGCAGAAAATTGATACACACTCCAAAAAATGATAAAAGCCAGCAGCATAAGTTCATGCATCTAGGCTACAGGGAGACTAAAAATAGAGTGTATAGCTCTACCTCCTGCCCCGGTCCCACCAGTACTGCAGCTGGGAGTACGAGAAACCAAGGCAGGAACTTAGCGCTTCAGCCGTGCACAGGTTACGTGGAGAACTGGCTCCATCCCCCGGGGCCTAATTAGAGAGAGGTTTGTGATAGGTGTTGCTCTTCTCCAATTCCCACCTGGGTATATTTTGACCTCCACAAGCTGCCCAGGCTGACGTTTATACGAGATGATTAATACACAGCACTAAGGGTTCCCCACCTGACGCAGGTGTGCCTACAGCACAGGGAAGGCATACGCCACTGCTCCTGCTCTAATTAACACCATCCACCGCAAACGAGGTCCTCGGCGCTGCTTCGAGTCTCCTGCAAGTGCCCTCAGTGTCCCGGCTCGCCTGCTCAGCACATTTCACCTGCAAAAGCCACCACTGGTACTAACCTGCCCAGTAACCAGTGTTACTGACCAGCTTTTCCAGGCAGTTATGAAAGAGATTTTACTTCTGAGAGCGGCGCTTTATCAGAAAACATTTCCTGGAGTTTCTGTTCCTTTTTAGGCCACATCAGCAATACCAAACAGAGAAAGAGGAATCAAAAGCAGCAGAAACAGAAATACTTGTAGCATTCACAAGTAGCAAGAGATGTCACAGTGAAACAGCCAACAGGGAAAATGCAAATCATAGAACATTTTCAGCTGGAAGAGACCTTCAAGATTGAGTCCAGCTTTTGCCTCAGCCCTGTCAACATCAGTAAACCATGTCCCTCAATGTAACATCTACACGTCTCTTCAACCCCTCCGGGGATGGTGACTCAACCCCTCCCTGGGCAGCCTGTTCCAATGGCTGACAACCCTCTCAGTAAAGAAATTCTCCCTAATATCCAACCTGAGCCTCCCCTGGTGCAACTTAAGGCCATTTCCCCTTGTCCTATGACTCGCCACTGGTGAGAACTGACCAACTGCCGCCTTGCTACAACCTCCTGTAGGTAGTTGTAGAGAGCAATAAGGTCTCCCCTCAGTCTCCTCCAGGCTAAACAGCCCCAGATCCCTCAGTCATTCCTCATCCAACACATGCTCCAAATCCAAGCTTAGTAACCCCACCGACCCAGGACGGTCATTTTGAACCACATAGTCCTACCAGCACCCAAAGGACAACATCACACCAGTAAACGTCACCTATGTACAAGCTATGCAGCATGAAGCAATCCCATGTACTGCCCTTTGTGCTGAAAGAGCAACTCCGTGTGGCTCGGGATCAGACGCTCTGAGTGGAGCCGCTCTGAGCTGCCCAAGACTGCTGGTGGTGCAGGAACCTTCAGGGAAGCTCGGCCGTAACAGATCCAGGTGAAGCACTCGCTCCTTCCCCTCCATGCACAATCTGAGACAGCACCAGCCAGCAGCACACAGCAGCTCTGAGTTCTGGCAGGACACATCTCTGAAACGCTCACCACTGCCTTGAAACATTATTCCTTTACTCCCTAATTTCTCTTCTCTGAAAGCAAAGACCATGGGGTCTTGTACCTTTTCAAAGCTCTCATAGAGCTGGTCACTGATACTTTGGTTTATAACAAGCACCTTTCCCATCTAGCAGGCTATAGATCTTCTCAGAAGCAAGCAAGTGGCAATGGTATTTTTAAAAAAAATAATAAATACTATCCAAGTTTTTCCCAGGAATTCCCTTTGGCTTTTGGGGGCTCTCACTTCTTTTTTGACCTTTCATATAGCATGATAAGTCTCAAGTTCTCTAGGAACACAGGCCTGCTGAATATTGTGTTAAAACACAAAACGTGGAAGGACAAGACAACAGCAATTACATTTTGTTGATGAAGAAAAATATGTGGGTGCTCCTAGAATGGTAATTTTACAAGCCACAACCCTTAGCCCCGCTTCCGCAAGCCCTCAGTGCCACGAGTTTGCCGGTCAGTGCCAGACGAGTCGCGTTCAGTGTGCCTCTCCCAGCGACATTCCCAGCCAACAGCCCCAGACACCCCAGTGCCAAGTCACCTGTGACAGAGCCACACCGGGAGAGCTGATCCCAAAATAGTCAGGGAAAGCTGTCTGCTAAGGAGGAAGAGACCTTATTCTTCAGCGCTGTGAACGTCACGCCTGACAGACACCCACCACTTTAAAATCCACTCCAAGGTTTGCTCAGCATCACAGATACCCTCCACAAAGACTGCCAGAATAACTAACAAGAAAAATCTTTACCAAGACCAAATTACAGTGGTAGGCTGCTGTCTATTTGTCACCCAAAGATTTACGTGCAAGAAGAACACCGTGCTCACTCCCTCCATAAACCGCAGCGCAGCTGCCAGCCCTGGCCTGCCAAATGGCCTCGTGTGCTGGCACACCTTTACCTGAATGAGTTTACAAAGGAGTTTTCATTCAGAAGCTGCAGTCATTTCACATCTGAGCAAGTATGTACTTAACTAACAGGGAAGTAAACACTTCCCACCATTTTACCTGTGTCTTATCAGTTCAATTATTTGCTAGGCAGTACATATAATTCTTTTACTGAAGTGGTTGCTCTATGTATAGAAACTCCAGTCTAAATCTAATTTTACAGTCACAGCCAGAACAACGCTGGTATAAATACATTTGGGTTCTCCAGCAGGGTAGCCCGCAGTCACCTTTACACCTGGGAGCCAGGGGGGATCCCTCTGCTGCACAAAATCACTTAGAGCATCTGGTATTTTTCTTGCAATGACAGTAAGACTCCAGCTGCTCTGCTGAAGGGACTCGCCATTACCTAACGAGTTATTGCGTCCCTCATGAGTATATTTAATTGTGCTTCTGTACTGCCACATACAGTCGTACCAACGCAACATAAATGCATACTACATAAGGGAAACAGCAAAACGCATGGGTGGGCAAGGCGCCGTTCTCAGATTAGGGACACAGCTGTGGTGCCAGCTGAGCCAGGTCAGCAGGGGAGCATTAGTTGTGGATCCTGGGCATCATTAGTTAAACCTATTTTTGCATTACCATGAAGAAAAATCAAGCTTCATGTGGTTTTTAAGGCTAGTAACTACTCTGGTAAAAACAAACAAACAAAAAAAAGCCAATACAAACATACTTCAGACAGACATGGCTGGAAGTTAACTTTTCCTCCCAAAGGTAACAGAGAAGCCACCCTTTCTGAAGGCATCACAGGGTTGCAAGGAATCAATATATAAGCTCAGATTTTAGAAGAACCTTCCCAGCACAGGAGGGGAAACTTGCCAGACCCACAAACCATGAAGAAGAGAGATGTGGGGTTTATTAGCTTTTGGCTGCTGGATGTTAGCTGTTCCTCCTCCCACATCTCTATCCCCATCTACCTACTTCACCAGGGAGTTGCGGCACCTGCTTCCTCGCCGTCTGGCTGCTCTGAGCTTTTAGCGGAGCCGCCTGCGAAGGCGGAGATGGAAGCCGGGAGCTGTCACGCTGGGCCACTTCAGTGTGTCCCAGGAGAAGCTCCATCGCATGGCTCTGCTCAAACGCAGAGAGCAAACACCTGCCGTAGCGCCACAAAGACTAAAAAAAAATTTTACCACGTTTTAATTCGCCTACGCAAAGGCGAGCACTGTACACTTTAGGATAGTATTTACACACCTTCCCCACCATAATTAAAGAAATTTACCAGTAAAAAGCAACTTTGTCCCCCAGTTTCTTCTCATTGACGTTTCTGTCCAGCAGGTTGTAGCAGATGTTGGTGGTTGCCCCTTTCAACCACTCGATGAAGATCTTCCCCTTGGTCACGTCGAAGTTGTATTTCAGAAAGGGTCCCGTGTGCCGGCTCTTCCAGTAAAACTCTTTAGCAATGTCACCCCAGAATTCTGCAAAGGCAACGGCCAGAGCTTGTCACCCAGGGCGGGAGAAGCAACATAAACGCCTGAAGGAGCGAGA